TACTTGGAGACTCTAAAAGTCAGCCAGTCAGCTTCATGCCCTGTTTTAGTCCCTATTAGCGCTGAGCGATTTAGGAAAAATATCTAACTGCGATAGTGATTAGATTTAAAATGTATGCTTTAATTAAAAGATGTTGTTCCCATTTTAAAAGTTTCCAAGAAAATGAAGAAAAAGACTAACACATGAGCTGACAAACTAAAATAAGAATCACCTTTCAGAACATGTTTGGACGGATCTAAATTGCAAGGTGACCATTTTTTATGCAGAATAAGACAGGGTATTTTGTGGTTTGTGAAGGAAATTATGGTTCTTCAGAAACTGCAGCCTTTGCAATTTGCTGATTGCGTTCATTAAAGCCGTGATTCGATTTCGATTAATCTTGCAGCTCTAGTCCCTAGTTAGTAAAGCAGTTCTCTAATGTCCAAATGTCCTTTGGACAGCAGAAACAGCAGTTTGTGGTTTAGTCCTGATCCTTTTGAATGTTTTGAACAATATTTGATTTAGGTTAATATTAGGGATGTAACGATATCCAAATCTCACGGTACGATATTATCATGATATGCATCTCATGGTACGATATTTACTGTGATATTTTGAAGAGGCTAAAGTAATTGTAGATGGGACACTTTTTTGCTTTTTAAATACCTTTACAAGATTTTGGTGTGAATTATTACCGTCATAATCCCAAGAATTCAAGTAAAAAACATATTTCTTCATGTTGTCTGCACTGAAATGAATCATGGGATATGTAGTTCCCAATGTTCATAAGCTGTTGCTACTATAAAACCATGCATTTAAGCAAAGGAACTTGTAATTCAATATATTGTGACAGCGCACGATATTATTGTGAGACTTTTGATGATATCACAATATTTTGGTTATTGTGGCATCCCTAGTTAATGTGACAGCTTTAATAAAAAAACTCTTAATTTAACAAGAATGGAAGCATAATATAATTTTTCAATTATTGTTTTACATGTTGATGTAGCAATTAACACTCCACAATGAAAGTCAAAAAGTGAAACAACTGCACCAAACACTAATAGCAGATAATGACATTAAATCATGCAAACAGTTGGTAAAGATTTGCCCAAAATATAACACAATATTGTATTGTATCATTTTGGACTCCACAAACCTGACTTAGCCTGGACTAGGGCTTCAACTTCAGTCTCCATGGAAATGTTGTTCCTATTGTTGTATTATTTCACAATATGACTCTATTTCCCTGGAATCATGCAGGTGATGTACCACCTCCAACATTTTACATGGTGTGTTGCTTTAATGTAAAGGTTTGAGCTTTATAGGAAACCAAGGGCTGTACTAAAACCTATACTGAATACATTTATATTACTTTCAGTTTACTTACATAAATAATTTTAGATGAAATTTCCGTTTAAGGAAGTCTTTTTATGTGAAAGTACATGTGGCAAGCCTGGTTCACATGCGACTCAATCAGACAGAGTTTGAAGTGCAGTGTGAAATGTTTGAGGTTCATTAGAAATGCTGCTGCTGCTAAAGCTAAAACCACTGACATATTTTAGTTCAGCCACTCCAATGTAAAGAGCACAAAAATCTGCCACAATGACAGGATAAAGCCAACCTCATCAAATATATATACAGGAAGATAAAGTGTATAGAGGCACAGTTCTCACAGTAACATATTATGGTACTTTGCATCCTTAAAGTTGTAAAAGAACATCAGAGTTTAATGAATGAGGCTATTCATGATTACACTGTTAATTCATATTTCACTTTAATTTCTTAATTTTTCATGGAACTATCACAGTGTCTTTTAGAGATGAAAATCCCTGCTCTATTTTCACGTGTCATATGATGCAGCTTGTCTCAGTGGCTGTTACTGGAGTATGAAAAACATGTGCTAAACACATCCGTTACCAAGTCTGAGGAAGTCACAGCTAAATCCCTTTTCTAAACTGCTACTCTACTGCTCTTATCTGCTGTTATCACTGTCATTCATGTAGCAGAGTAAACACAACATTAGAATATATTTGTCTAGTGATAAAAAGGTAAAAGCTGGAGCATTTTAGGGAGGAGATTTGGAAAAGTATTGCAAACTTTTTTTTTTTTTTAAAGCAAGAAAAGACTGAAATATGAAATGTTAAACTAATACAAGAATCACATGCACTTCAAAACATGTTTGAATTGGTCCGAACTACTGTGATGGTAGTGATGTTCGTTTATGACAAAAATGATGATTCTTCTAAAATGTCAAAATTATCCTGTAAAGAAAGTTTTGTGACAGTGTAGTTTGAAAGCACACTCTTTAGGAACACAGGAACATAATATAGTGTACACTGACACAGTACATCTACTTACTGATACACTGGCACAGTACATCTACTTACTGATACACTGGCACAGTACATATACAGTTTTTGTTACAGTACTTTTTTTTTTTTCCCTTTTACACCTACCATTCTGAGCAAAAGATAATTATTTGCGTTTTTATTCTTATTATTTTTTGCAATTGAACATAGTAATAATTGAAATCATGATACATTTGGTTAAATGCATAACCATACTACAGGGATATTATAATACACTAAAGTCACTTTAAATACACTCACGATTTATTCTTGTCAATGCTGCATTGTACATAACCACACAGTCACTGCTAAAATGTTGTAGTCTTATAGCTTTACCCTGTTGTTTCACTGAGTAATTGGTGTTTTTGCTAAGTTTTAATTTTGATTCTATTGCAATGATTCTTGGAGGCCAACATTTCCTCTTTCTTATCTAAAAAGTATCTATAGCAAAAGAGGAAAAAACACTTGTTAACTAACAAAAACAAAACAGAAGTGGGTGCAAAGTAGCACAAAACTATTATTATGTTAATCGAGTGCTAATTAAATTACTAAATTAGTTGACAATTATCTTGATAATTGAGTAGCTGCTATTTATCAATTAACTTGTTTCAAGATTATTCATATGAAAAAGAACAAGTATCCTATAAAACACTGTATTATATAGTGCTACACATTTTACATAAAAAGCTATGAATTTTCTTCTATTAGCTTCTCAGTTCAGTATCATCGTCTTTGCTTTTGGAGTTGCAATGAACATTCTGAACAGAATCATACTTTTTAAACACAGATTTCAAACCTAATCAAAACCGGTTTTTGATTTGTTATCAAAATTGTGCAGTCCTATCACACATTTTCAGTCAGCAGTTACATTTTGGCTATGGCAGAACTAACTTGCTGTAATCGCTCAAATGCAACAGACACATACTCTCTAGTGAGATGAACACAGCTAATACTTTGATAAACCTACAATGTAAAAAGTGTGGACTAGAAACTGCGAAAAGACTAACTCTTGTGTCCTATCAATGCTAGAGAATGTCAGAACTAAAAATGAAAAGCCCAAAAGAATCATGTCTATTGTCAAAACTAAACACTGAAAAGAAGAGGAAGGAGAGAGAGGGAATGGAGAGAATGAGAGGAAGGGGAGATGGATGGGGGGTTAACAGAGAAATTGAAGGAACAAGACAGAATGAGAGAGGCAGAGAGAAAGACACTCACGGAAAGGTGAAATGATGAAGAGATTATAATGGAGAGATTGAGAGATAAAAAGGGAGGGGAAGAGGGCAAAAGAGAGAAGGATGTGATACAAAGGTATCACAGAAGCGAGAGGAAAGAGAGTTAGAAACAGAGAGAGAGGATGCAGAAGTGAAGGAGGTATAGAGATATGGGACAGCAGTTTAGAGACAGACAGAAGGAGCAGAAAGAGAGAAGGAAAAAGATAGACAAGAGAAAAGAGAGAAGAGTGAAGTGGAGTGAACATTTCTCATTAGGACATGAATTATTCTCCTAAACTCCTGCCATATCTGCCCCTGGTCTCTGCCCCTGCCCTGTTTGCCACTGCCTCAGCGTCTGTCTCTACCCCAGTCTCTTTGTGGGGACAGTGCAGCTGGTGTGTGTTTTCAGCATTGTGGCTAAGAGCTGAAGAATGCTCCTCACTCATTCACAGCTGCTGCAGACCATCACAGTCTACCTCACATTCACACAACAAACAAAGTCTAAAATACACACACAAGTACGTGCAAAACAGTACTCATATAGGGTTACAACTAACATTTATTTGCCTTGTTGATTCAACTATCAATCATAATTTTTGATCACTTGATTTGCCGCATTAATGTGAGACTCTATTTAACGTAGATGAAGCTAAAGTGATGCCAGTTGAAGTCACCCTGATAGAGAATATTTACAGACCAAACGGTTTTACTATAATACTACAAAGTTTGGCATGAAAACTCCTGAAAAAAGACCATCTAGGTGCTCAAACAGTACTCTATAAAGCAAGCACAGATACATGAGTTAACTTAAATAATTGGATTATAATAGAATTTATAGAGATTATTTAGCAGTTTTATAGTTCTTGACAAGAAATTACAACTTTACAAGCATCACAACACTGAACTTATGCACCCCTTACAACTTTCTGCATTGGGCTGCCCTGTCATAAGAGCTCCTCCTTGTAAAATCTGTTTACAATCTCATCCACTCCACCCATTCTTGAGCCAAATTCAAAACAGTTGTACACAGCTCCATGGTGAGCCAAAACATACAAACTCCCACTCACTATGCAAATAAAATGCACTATACTGAATAACATCAAGGTTCTTAACTATGGGTTCAGCCCGTGTCGTATGGGTTGTTTTGGTGAGTAATATGAGTAGACCTAGAAATCAAATTCTGTTGTAGTTTCGGCCCGAGTTAAACAGTTTTAGGTTCAATTACCATTTTTATAGTTAGTCTGCCTACTACTTGTTACCACCCAAGGTATACAGTATAAACCACTACCAGTGCAGACGACCATATGCATTGCAAAATATGCCTGAACATTTCCCAAACATCACTGTTTCTTGAACACAGCATCTTGGAACATGGAGAAAAAACGCAATTATGGGAAACTTCTTCCTGGAGTATAATTGGTCATTCAAAAGGGAATCTTTAGGTTATCATCTTTCTTACCTGTGTCCTGCCTGAACTGGTGCATGGACTGGAGATCTATGATGTAGGGCGCCAGGCGACTGTCCACTTGGCCCAGGACCACGCTTCCTCCGCGGGGGTCGCTGCTCCTTATGGCCGCCTCGATTTGGTGGGACACTGCGGGGCTGTAGGGCCGCCAACGTCCGTGCTCGTTCAGCCATTCCCACACCACCACCGCGGAGCCCATGAGCATGCTGCTACTGCTGGCCCTTGAGGAGAAATCAAGAGGTTTTAGACGACAAAGAGAGCTGTATTCCGCTGCCAAGTAGTGCTAGCCATCACCGAGATGAGTGAGGGGGTTCTTAGCCAAAATAAATGGGTCCGTCTGCTGCTAATCCAGAGGCCAGCCAGACACCGAGCGTTTCCACTTGTCTTTTTGTCATGCAGTAAATAATATGCGATCTAGCACTAAACCTGCACATATTTACAAGTCATACCTAAATAATTAAAAGCAAAATATGAGACAAGACAAAGCCATTTCAGTCTTACATGAAGCAGCGGCTGAGCTAACGCCGGGACAAGACGCCGATACATTGTTGTGCAAAGATCCGAGCAGACTGCATCGCAAAGCGGGGAAATCAAGGTCCTCCCTGGGCTGTATGCAGTTGTAACGCCGTAACAAGGAGCTGGGACGTCCGTCAGGCGAAGCGAGGGCTCGGTACACTGGACACCGGTCTTCTGCTTTAGCTTGAGCCAAACCAAAGCGGTCTCGTAGATGTTCAGCGCGGGGGCCTTTACGCACGGGGCTTTGTGTGATTCTCGTTTGGGTAGAAGAAATCTCGCCTCGATGTGTGATCAATTACCAGTTCTCACTTCAAATTTAAGTCGAAACCTTCACACTAGGTAATAAACCGCTCAGAGAAAGTGAGGATCTTGACACCTATTGTCCGTAAAGCTCCCGTACTCTGGGCGTAGCGAAATCTTAAAACTCGTAGATTCCAACAGCGCGCTGCCAGCCTCTGCGATGTTGAATCAAAAACTGGTTCAACTGGTCCGTGGTGATTTCTAAACATCACACTACTATGGGATAGTGCAGAGCTGTAAGTCATGTTCTGAGTCTATTTAACCCATAATACTGTGTTATTGTGTGGTTTCATCATATTACACCGGGTATCCAAAATTGCACTGAAGTAAAAGTTAAGTTAATAGCTTTAGAAACTAGTTTGTCGTTTCTTATTTACTTAGCCATGACAAAATTTAAGATGACATTTCTGCATGCACACAACTTGTTACAGTCTCACCTGCTGAAATGATCTTCTGTTTCACTTGGAACAGAATTCAGGACCGTCCCAAGTCTTTCAGTAAATCCACTTCACCCTTTTGGCTGCTCCATTCCGTTTAATTTGCAGGTGGTAGCAAAATCCTACCTATGTTTAACAAAACTTCAGTGAGACAACACGTTTAAAAGTTAACACCGATCGCTAAACTGGTAATTCATCCATAATTGAAGCGTCTCATCGGTATCCAAACGCTATCCCGCGGCCTCCATCTTCGTCTTGTCGTGAGAAACCCTAGTCTAATGAACAGAGGGAATTGGGAGGACAACAGCCCCAGGGTTTAGGCACCACTCCACGCCCCCACAGTCTCCCACGGCCTCACACAACCCACAGCCAATGGGACGTTCAGCACCCCAACCCTCATTTCATTTGCACAAAACATTAATTAAGCCTACTTATTAATTAATTGGATATCTGATTGGAAGAATTTTAGGCCTATATTTCTGAATTTCATGCGTTAAGCTATAGAAAATTAATGGACAGAGTGCATTTGTAGACATTTCTTTCATCAAACACTAGGCCTATTTATGTAGTAGCCTATGACACAGAAACTATTACTCCCAGAGAGGAAATTATTTGTCAGATGTTGCACATCTACATAGAGAACAGAAACGTAGATAATCGTTACTGTTATTGCGTTAAATAAATCATCACAATACAAAATAGAGATCTTAACATTTTAACGTATAAGTCAGTCACTGTAGTTTGGGGCAATTATTTGAAAAAAAGTAGCGCATCACTGCCATCTTGAGGATAATATTGAGTAATGTCACGACCAACAGAGGCGATTTTTTTAACCTGTGGTCATGGTGTGTGACTGGACAGAAACAGTTATACAAAATTTAAATGTTTGAATAGGTTAGAATAATAAAGTTGATTGGAAATTCGAAAGCCAATATTTAATTTAGTCATAGCTGGTAGAATTTAATTGATCTGTACTTGCATAATATATGTTTTTACTATTAAATCAGACGTTATAAATCACATCTAGACACACAACAATAACAAACATTTCTCAAAATGCTGAAACCATCTCTGGAAATATCTATTTAGGCCAATATGACGTCAGTTCCGTCGTCCAAGGCTCCATAGCTCAGGGGTTAGAGCACTGGTCTTGTAAACCAGGGGTCGCGAGTTCAAATCTCGCTGGGGCCTGGATAACTTTTCATTTTCCCCACAATTTTAAGTTCGACATTGGCATTTCTACATTTTATTACACATCAAAGGCGCACACTGAGTCGTTTATATTTTATTTACCGCAAAAACGCGCCATTCGATAGCACGTGACTTTGAACCACGGTTTGGATTTATCACGACGCTACTTTTTAAACACGAGGTTAGCTTTCTAAACATTACTTTCCCAGAACTTCAGGTCGTATAAACATTTTTGTTATTTGCGGACTTATGTAGATCATTTGTTGAGTAACAAGCGATAGAAACACATTTATTTTACAACAACCTTGTAATCAACGCGTGACGTGTTATAAACATTTGATCAGTCGCGAACTCGCTACTTAAGCAAGCTACCCCGCTAATAATATTAATTTGACTATGTTTGCTAACTTTACGCACATGTTTTTTCTAATTAAACTAAATAATTTACTACAATTTGGCTTCGCGCTTACAAATTTAACACGTGAGGTTTGTGCCAGCATAGATACTCACTTTCGCTTGTGCAAATGTTGTGGATAGAAAACGATTTTCTGTGTATCGTGTGTAGGCAAGGCAAGGCAAGTTTATTTGTATAGCACAATTCGTACACAAAGTAATTCAAAGTGCTTTACAGAATAAGAAATATATTAAAATCATAATAAAAACTAATCAAAACATAAATTAAACATGAAGATTAAAATTAAAAAGAGAGACATAAATTGGAAAGAAGAGTGCGGAATGTATACATATCCCGCTTAAAAGGGTAACTCACGCGACCTGGTTTAGCACAGAATATTAACTTACGTCATGCTGATGCGAAATAGAGCCCGGATAGCTCAGTCGGTAGAGCATCAGACTTTTAATCTGAGGGTCCAGGGTTCAAGTCCCTGTTCGGGCGATAGTTTTTTTTGTGCGTTTGCTGCTGAAGACGTATTGCACTCTAAATACAGGCTGATAAGGATCTATCAACAGGTTAAAAGAATTCCATTTGAACATTTCTAATTCTGTCTGTGTCCTCAGGTACAAGGGCAACTATAGACCGCACAATGAACTACAGACTACACAATAGTATGTGTAGTCTAGGATGCATAGTAGTATGTGTAGTCTAGTCTAGTAGTATACATATGTGTACTGTGGGCACTGGCAACTCTGAGGTTCTGTTGTGATTGTAGTGTCTTTTTAAAACAATAAGAGTGCAGGCTACATGCAGTTCTTTCAAGGCACAGTCTAATGTGTATAATTATAAAAAAAAAAAGAAAACTCGTCAGGTTTTCAGAAATCTGTTTCCATTTAATTTTGAGCATAGACTAATACCCCGTTTCTAAGACACATGTTGACTGAGACATTGTTTCAAGCACTTCACAGGTGATAGCATATTATAACAACAATCAGCATATACACACAACTAAAAAAGCATGTTGAAAAAAACATGTTGAAATTAAAATAATCCAGTGGTATTTCAAAACATATAATAGTTTACAAAGGAGTACACACAAGCAAAAAGACTTTGTCAGAGTTTTGCGATATCAAGATTTTACACAATATTCTCTTAAATGTGGACATGTAGAATTGCCTGGGTCTGCTGGTGAGGAACTGCATATATGTCACTGTTGTTTTGATCCTTTTGTTCTTCAATGAGCGGATTTTTTCTGTGATCTTTGGTTTTGCAGTGAACCACACAAACAGAAACCACCATAAACAGCAATCCACCACCCACAGCTGAGCAGTACCAGTGATAGAAGCCAAAGTGGAAAGGACCTGCATGAAATATGGTAATCATACAATTTATTAGAGAGATCTTGTCATGTTTTGAATGTACTGTGAAGAGTCCAGGGATTATTCAACAACTACACAATTAGATTTTGAGCAGTTAGGCAAAGTTGTACTACCAGTTGCATTCTTAAATAAATACATATATAGCAATCAAATCAAATATCTTAGCATGTATCAAAATTTTAATATAATTTCTCCTCATAAAATAATAAATTATTTGTACGTTTAGTAAAACCTTTGTCTAATATGAATAGAGGAATCCAGACAAACATTTTTCTTTTTATTTTTTTTCATCTATATCACATTCATATTTATTTATTTACTTTTTAATAATCCCAGATGTTCAGCAGGGGCCTATATAACTCTATAGCAGATTTACTGTTTTTGAAAGAAAGTCACAAACATTGAACCATATTATTTGTTATGTAATAGGCTGCACAAATCTGTAACATTAAGCTCATGTCTTAAAGTCCTTTCCTGACATCATGTGTTTGGTGTTGAATAATGGCACCACTTTCTGAGGCTATCGTAAACCTAAACTATTTGCCAATTGAATTCATGACCATACCTTGAATTATGATTCCCGATCCTATCAGCAACTCTGTGTTCAAACAGACCGCACAGAAATACAAGCCCAGGTCATTCTCAGTGATATCAGTGATGGTAAGAGTGCGGTGCACAAACTCCGCTGTAAAACGGGGCTCAGCCTGGTAACCTAAAAAAGCAAGAACATAATTCATTCCACACAGTTATATTTCACCAAAAAAGATGTTGACGAACATAGTTATTAGGTATCATCAGGAATAACAATATTTGCAAAATAGTAATAACAACATTTTCAAAAATGTTGAAAATGGGGCTAAAATGTATAATTGTAGCAGAAGAAAAGAGCTAATAATTATTTGTTGCCACAGTGCAGCCAAAATTATTTATGAAACACAATTTTAGTCTTAATAGTTTGCAATATAAAAGTAATGTTTGCCCTACACAATTTATTTATTTATTCATTTATTTTCTAGAATTAAAAAAATAATAATCACAATATTGCAATAATTAGTCAAATTCATATCCATAATATGCTCAACCCTATTGATAGAAAGTGTAAAGTGAAATAGTGAAACATTAACCATAAACCATGTCTCCTTTTCTGAGGTTGATGAAGACCACTAAAGTTGGGGGTCTGTACGGGTTTTCTTTGAACCAGGCCACGTTGTAAAAAGATGTCAGATTACAGACCAAAGAGACTGTGCCTCCAAGATGTACATGCTGAACCTCTATTGTCTGTACCTGCTGTATATGGACAAGTGCTATAGCGGTAATTAAGCCTGAAAAAATAATGAAAAATTAAAGTTATAAATTACACAGATTTCTCAAATTTGGGATATGCATTTGCATTTGGACATGACTGGAGAAATGACTTGGTAATGGTTCCAAATACTTAATTCAAATACTTAAACAACAGTAAAAGAAAAAAAAAAGAACCAAATATAGCATGGCTAGCTTAGATTGTGATTTATACATATCAAAATATATTGTTTAAAATTTTACACTATTTTACATTATAATTACTTCCAGATTAAAAACAGCAACTCACCAAAAAGAACCATTGTTAGAGTTGGTAAACCACAGAAGAGCTTTGGTTTTGGTTGAAATGAAACACACTACCTCACGCACTAAAATAAATTTCACTTCTTCTGTGTGAAAACTCAACATCGTTACCTGTTACCTCTTTTTGAGACTTCTTTCCTCTTTCACCACCTACACATATTAGAAGTAAATCAACTGTGAAACCAGACATGATACTCTTTAAATAGCTTAATGCTCTTTTCAACAAAATATCAAATAGACCATGAACCAAGCCTCAGTATTATTATTATCGGTATTACTACTGAAGGTGGCAAGGGCTATCCGTGATTTAGAAAAGGTCCCAACTGTTATCAGCCTATAACTGTACCACGCCTATGTTTGGCCATGTTCTTGTCATTCATCTAGGCTAATCAAAATTTTGACATTTTATCTAAATAATTTCATCTAAATAATTTATCTATATATTTTCAACCTGTCTGTCACCTGCTAGTATTTTTTAATCAGTTATTATTTGCTTGATGGTGTAAATCATCAGAGTTATCCAAGCTAGAAAAGGTTTTTGCAGCTTGCTAAAATAACATGGGAAATGTAGACAATTATTTGTACAGGGCTTTTCAGCTCTTTTTGTTTTGTCAACAAATGAAGCAGGTCCAGAGCATGGCGACCTCTCAGTTGACTACAGGCTGTAATGCCACATCAGCTTTCTACCTCTTGGCTATTATTATAAACCTGCTTTGAACAAACACTTTGACACTGATTCTCTCATACTTAAGCTCATGATCTGAAGTCATGATATGTTTTCTAAATATGCACAGTAGGCTTATACTTAATGCATTCTAGCTAGGGCCAGACCAATATATGGCTGAAGATCTGGAGATTTAGTTCAATTCAGACTGACAACTAATAAAGATCATTCACTGCATTTTCTATTGGCTCCTGGTCAAACAAACAAATGAAAAAATAAATAAAATAAAAATGTAAGAATAAATTAAATCCCAAGATTGAACTACTAAATAATTTGTAGTGAAATAATGGGTTTAATAAATGATATATAATAATATATAATTATATATACACACACACACACACACACATATATATATATATATATATATATTTTTTTTTATTTTATTTTTTTTTTTACACTTAATAGGCTATTGAGTCACATCCAGTCCAGTTTTTGGGCCGTAACAACATATTGCCTGTGCTTTCTACAGTCTAAGCTAAATGTAGTAGGATCTAAGATAAAGCAAAACTAATGTGTAGCAGTCTAGTTTTCCCCAAAAGAGCCCTGATAGAAACAATATATCTGCAAAACAAAGATAAACTCAATGGAGGAGGTGTCAAGGGTCGAACCAGGACTGCGGATGATCACGTGTGGCTTTAAAGCGCTCCTCTCATTGAGCCACAACAAAAGCCCAAACCCAGCCTGGTGCACGCTTCTGCTGCACACAGATAGCATGAGGAGGGCACATTTCCCTTTTAATAACTGGATTATTATCTTAACCAGAGCGATGACACCTCCCATCACGTGTGTATGAAAAAAACCCTCTTCATTTCTCGACCTGACGCTGGCTAAAGGAGCAACTTGACTTCGTTCGCAGGTGGAGCATGTTGTTGTTAGCATTAGCATTGTAGCACGTTTCCTGTCAAATCAGCTGTGTGTCAACCCGCAGTGGCGTTAGCTTCGTGCTAAAGCTAACATCATTTTGTGTCATGGTGTTTTAGGCATTAAGAATCGTGTCAGCATAAGGAGTTTAACTATATATAAAGGCAAACTTGTGTGCTAACGTAGCATGTCCATTCATTGCCTGTACTTTTATTGATTAGGTAAAATGTGTTAATTTTCCTGCTACCTGAGACAGCATGCTAACCTTGATACCCAAACTTGGGTAAATGTTTAGATAAATTGTAATGTTAAAACGAACAAAAGGGACAAATACTTTGTGTATGAGGTGTCAGCCAAAGGATCTGTGTCTGTGTATTGAGAGTGAAACACTTGTTGTTAGAGGTCTGGTTATTTGAGGGAGGACATGTCACTTGAGTTCTAAATAGTTTTACATTCTGTTGTGTTGATGGTACTCCCTGTAATGTCACACATGAGTTATTTTGTGTGTCCAATAATGGCTCTGGGTGTGGACTGCCCAAACTGGGTATGAATCATTTTTCTTTGAAAAATTTCTACAATACACCCATTAGTTCATTAGTTCACTCATAGTCTTAACTTAACCAGTAATTTAATTAGCTGTACTTGTACACACAAAGCAGAAATTCTGAATTGAATATGATACTGAATAATGTGTATAATTTGTATTGTATTGTTTCAGAATGGCTGGAGTCTTTGACATTGACCTGGAGACTGAAGATATCAGTGATGCAGAGGTTTGCATACATTTATTAGTTTATAAAATGTATTCTTATGTATAGTCTTATTGAGTTGATTAAGTAAACGCAATTTTCAGTCTTTACTTATTATTCTTTAAGTGTAATTTTCTATTGAGATGACCTAATGTATTTCAAACAGAACAATGTGGGGAAAAAAATACAGGTAACTGCATGCAGTGAAAGGATGTCTTTAGCATTTACTTCAAAACAGTCAGGCTATGGGAAAAAACAAAAATAGGCCTAAAAATAAAATAAACCAAAGATGTTTATGTGGTACTTTGCACGATGGGAAGAAGAAAATTTGTAATGTTATTATTTTTTTGTTTGAACTAATAGGATGAAGTATGTGACTTCACAGTGCCAGAACCAGAAAAGTGAGTCTTATCTAACAAAATATATATAACAGTTATAAACTATAATACAAATTGTATATAAATTGTTGTTGTTGCTTCTCAGTGTCCAGACAGAGGAAGTGGAGCTGACCAGTGAGAGTGTTAACAGAGACAGTGAGAGAGTTGGCCCTGACTGCTTTGAGCTGCTCAGGGTGCTGGGAAAAGGGGCATATGGCAAGGTTTGTCCCTCAGTAACTGCATGATTCTATTCCACGTTTCCATTTTGTTAACACAACCGAACAACAACATAATATAAGATGAAACACCAATGGGATAACGTTTTTCCCACTTTTTTGTTTCTTATCTTGACATACAAACTTTCAAATGGAAACAACATGTGTAACCATAAACTAAATCTGCACCTGAAGATTTTGAATTATTTCATTTAATTAACTGAACTAATTAACTGCATCCATAAAGAACAAATATCCACTTTATAAATAAATTTGTATCTAATGTGCAAACAAAATGGTGCAAGACACTGCTTCATAAAATTTTCAGATTTACATCTTGCTTATATTTGGCCATTTTTACAAAGAAAATGTCCTATTTATTTAGAAAAGTTGAGAACATCATATAATGAAAAACATTATAAAGTGTACTATACAAATTACATACATTCACCATACTAATTAATTAACTCTTTCCCAGGTATTTCAAGTGCGCAAAGTTCAAGGCCCCCAGACTGGAAAAATATTTGCTATGAAAGTCCTGAAAAAGGTGTGTCAAACAGCCAAATGATGCACAACTTAACACAATTCATGAATCATTATTTTTTGCTAATTTTCAACTGTTCTTTTCTAGGCAAAGATTGTCTGCAATGCTAAAGACACAGCCCACACTCGAGCAGAGCGAGAGATTCTGGAGACCGTGAGGCATCCGTTTATTGTGGATTTACTTTATGCTTTTCAGACTGGAGGAAAGCTCTACCTCATCCTGGAGTGTTTGATTGGTAAAGCAAAATGAATACATTGGGTTTACAAAGGTTGTTCGTCATGCATGTGTCTAACCTCAAAAACGTAGCAAGATTCATGTACAAAAGATGGTATATGTCCAGTATATTTGAGTAAGTTAGCAACTGAGCTGATCAGATTAGCACACACATTGCTTTTGTCCTTAGTTTTCCAAAGCAGTGTTTTTGGTGGTGTAGTAATTTATAACATTTTAAGCTTAATATTTCTCTTGTATGTCTCAGGTGGTGAACTATTCATGCAGCTGGAGAAGGAGGGCATCTTCATGGAGGACACGGCTTGGTGAGTAAAAGGCTTTTTAAAGTCATACTGGTTTATTTTGACAGAGATGAATAACAATTTGATCCTTTGCTTATAATGAAAACATTTATTCATGAATGCCACTGGTGTTTGTGTTGTGTTTATATAGTTTTTATCTTGGAGAAATCACGCTGGCTCTGGGTCACCTTCACTCCAATGGGATAATCTACCGCGACCTGAAACCTGAAAACATCATGCTCAACCACCAAGGTAAACATGACTATTAAGGTTATCTAAAAAAAGGATACTCAATAAATAAGCAATACTAGTAATTACTAATTCAATTAATATATTAATAACTGATGGCAAAATTAATAGCCAATACTAAAACTAGTATTAAATTGGATACTTTTTGAGCATTGATTCTGAAAAATGTACATAAACAGGACAAATTTTGACCTTGAAATCAACATTAAAAGCTGACAGCTGTGACTTTGCCATTATCAAGTGGGTAGGTAAGGCTTGAAGGGCTCAAAAAGAGTGGGGATTATATAGCTGTGGCTGTTGCACACCGTTTCCTGAAAACCTGTGACCATTTATATTCTGTTTTCACTCTGTAACATGTTTAATTTAAACCTAAAAAATAATGCCAATAAATTAAGAACAAAAACTATGAAACATAAGTATTACTCTGTATGCAAGTAGACTCTTTATCTGCAAGTATGATCAAGGCATGTGTAAAAGCTTAGTGTATCATTTGGAAAAACATAATGTATGTACAAATGTCAGTTGTTTTTTTTTGTGAAAGGGCACATAAAGCTGACTGACTTCGGCCTCTGTAAAGAGTCCATTCACGATGGCAGTGTCACTCACACCTTCTGTGGGACCATCGAGTACATGTGGGTAACAGTGCACAAAACATCGTATTTACATGAATCTCACACGCAAAGGTCCATCACATGAACATATTTTTTTTCCTCCTAACCCAAGTCTACTCCTCATTCTTTTACTGACAGAGGATTGGCTATAGATTTAGATTAAAAAGACCCAATATTTTTCTCTGAAATTAGTGAATATTTCCACTCAAATTCAATTAATTACACAGCCTTATATTTATGCAATGTTTACTCTTGTTAAATATACAGTGTCTGCCTGATTAATCTTTTATCTCTGTTATCTCATGTTGTTTGTAAATATAAACTTGTGTTTACCCTTTCCACAGGGCTCCAGAGATCTTGACCAGGTCGGGCCACAACAGAGCTGTGGACTGGTGGAGCCTGGGCGCCTTGATGTACGACATGATGACTGGATCGGTAAGATGAGACATGGATATTTGTGTATTTATGTTTATGCAGAACCAGTGTGCTGTATTGTAAATTCCTAACAAAATGACAATATGTTTCTTTCACGTTCGACAATTTTATGGTGTCATTATTTCAATTGGAGGACAGGGACCCATGTTAAATTCACTAGTTTTTAAAGAAACCTCCAAACCTATGACCACAGATGTTGAACCCTATCGTTATTTATTAGAGATAGGCTATAGGCTATAAACTTGCCCTATAAATTTTATGGCATAAAGTTCCTTCAATTGGAAACAGTTTTTGGTGTTGAATAATGGCACCACTTTCTGACCCAAGCACCCAACAGAAATGTAAAAAAAAAAAAAAAAAAAGCACTGTTGTTCATTTAAGCTGACTGGGAACACATTGAACTTTGTGCCCGTTTTGATTCTTTCAGATAGGGCCAGAGAAATATTAACCTTAAACCAAGTCAGCAAATCTGCAGTTTGACAGTTAAACGTCAGATTTCACCAGAGAAAATTGTCCTCCAGCTCAGTTTAAACTAGAATATTGTGATAGCACGTGAAGGCAACCTATTTGAAATGGATATGAATGTGTTGATCGTAAATACAGGTCAACATCAAAGTTATAATATAGTTTTGTCACCCTTGTCAAAATGTATTAAATTATATTTTTCTAATCTTTGTACAGCCTCCTTTCACAGCTGAAAACAGGAAGAAAACCATAGATAAGATCCTGAAGTGTAAGATCAACCTGCCCCCTTATCTGACCATCGACGCACGGGACCTCATCAAAAAGGTACATTGCACAACACAAGGGCTGATGACTTTGCGCAAATATCTAATTACAAATTGGCTGTCAAATTACTTTGTGACATGGACAAAATTGTTGGTATCCCTCTGGTTATGAAAGAAAAATCAACAATGGTCACTGAACTAATTTGAAACTGAGAAAAGTAATAATAGATTTAAAAAATCCTGAAAAATATCCAGTGAAAATCAAACACTGTTTTTGAATTGTTGTTCAAAAGAATGATTTTAAAAAACAAACTAATAAAACTGGCCTGGACGATACCTTTAGAAAAGATTATAAATAATTGGATAATTGGGACATATGTCCTCTAATCTGCATCACAGGTGTTTTCAAACTCAGTCAGTCTGCCTGTTTAAAGGGTGACATGTGTCATTGTGCTGTTTGGTGACATGATGGATACAACACCAGGGAAAGCGAAGAAGAGATCTGTGTCAGGAGACTAGAAAGAAAACGATAGACAAACAAATTAAAGATAAAAAAATAAGACCATCTTTAAGCAACTTGATGTTCCTGTGATTACAGTTGCACATGTTGTTCAGAAGTTTAAAATTCACAGGGCAGTAGCCAACCTCCCCGGATGTGGTTGCAAGAGGAAAATTTTTGACAAATTCAAGAGATGGATCATATGAATGGGGCCCAGAACAACCTCTAAACAAATGAAATGTGATTTTTGAAGGGCAAGGTACATCAAGGGTGTCTTGAATCTGTGCAAGATACAACGAAATCTCAAGACTTGCAAAGTATTTTGGAATGAAGTGTGCTGCCTAGTGTCAGAAAGCTTGGTCTCAGTCATAGGTCATGGGTCTTCCAATAGGATAATGCCCCGAAACACACACCTAAAAACACCAAAGAATGGCTAAGAACAAAACATTGGACTGTTCTGCAGTGGTCTGTGAGCCCAGATCTCAATTTTACTGAACATCTGTGAAAGGACCTGAAACTTGCTGTCTGGAGAAGGCACCCTTCAAACCTGAGACAACTAGAAGTTTGCTCACGAGAAGAGGGTCAAAATACCTGTTGACCAAAGCAGAAGTCTCATTGACAGTTACAGAAATCATTTGATTGCAGTGATTATCTCAAAAGGTTTTGTAACAAAATATTAAGTTCAGGGTACCATCATTTTTGTCCAGGCCAGTTTTATTATTTTGTTTTTTCAAATGATTCTGTTGAGCCACAGGTGAAAAGCAATGTTTGATTTTTGTTAGACAAAAGTACAGTACATTATTTGTTATTGCTTTGATCAGTTTCAGGTTATTTCAGTAATGATTTTTAATTTTTCTTTCATTGCTAGAAGGGTACCAACAATTTTATCCAGGTCTGTAAGGAACTTTCTGCATCAGAGCTCCCCCTGCAGCTCCTTTATGAGAGTACACTGTCTGGGAGCAGACTCAAAGGCATTTTTTTATCAGGATTTTTAAAAAATAAAAATAATATAAATTTATATTTAAAAAATAACCAGGGTTTCCAGTGAGAACTTAGACTTGGGTCCGCCATATATTATAATGCAGGGCTGGTTTTCTGCCCAGAGAGTAGGTGAAGACGATCAACACTTCACACACCCCTAAAATCTGTATTATTTAACCACGACACGGACTTACATAGGCATTTTTACTTAATTCTGTTTTAAAATACAAATCTAGACTGAGTTCACAGTGCACATTGTAAACTCTTCCAGGACAATTAAGGATGCACCATGTAACCTTTTCTGGTGGGTGGTCTCAAACCTGCTTGTTTGCATGGAGATGTTATTGCCTTTTCTGGTTGGTGTAATCTTATCATCAAGTTACAGGCCAGATCTGTGAAGACATTACCTAGTTATAGCAAGAAAGTATGTTTTTCAAGATATATTTGAGCTGTAATACACCTAATGCCATGTTGTGGAACATTCCAAGCAAAATGATTACAGGTGACAGATCCCCACCAGAAAACATACATAGTGCACTTTTAACAAAACAGAGATGACTGAAGTAAGAATTGATTGTCTCACATTTTTTGCTGAGGTTTAAACGACCAATTTATTTTTTTTTTTTCATGGCTGATGCTGATACCGAATGTTTATTGGATTTGCTTAATTAGGCGGCTGGTTTGGTCAAACAAAATATTGGCCAGAGCAGAAGATTGAAGGCCAATAGGTGATGCGCTAAAAAGTGCAAACAAGTCAAAGTCAAACAAAGTTGGCCCAATATATTGGCCAACTGTCTATGTCTAGTTTAAACTACTGAGCTAATTTTGTGTACAATAATACCGCACAGAGATACAATATTAAATTGTTTGTTGAAGATTTCATAAATACCTGAATTCTTGCACCATAGCCATTGGTTAAATTGCAACCATTCAAATTTAGTTTTAAAACTGAAGAATCCTTTAACCTGACATAACACCCATTTACAACAGAAAGTTGTGTGTAGAAATCTATTCAATTCAATAATTAATGTACGTGGAAGACAAGTTTGTATTCATCTATCATTTATCATTGTCTACCCAGTGTTAAACTTGTGCTGCAGTTTCATGTACTTTTGTTCTTATTTTGTCCTGCTTCTGAGCTAAAAATATCTGTACATTACTAAAAAGCCCTCACCAAAGCAGATTAACTCCCTTCATTATTACATTTTAAAGTCTTTCGTCTCAAGAATGTAAGCGTTTATTTTTTTTTTATAAGAGGCATATTTTCACTTACATTAAAATAGACTTTGCTTTGATTTTCAGCTTTTGAAGAAGAGTCCGGCCCAGAGGCTTGGCTCCAGTAAAGCAGATTGTGCTGATATTCAGGTAAATTACATCAGCTAAACTCAAATACTTGCTTTATCTCTATTTTTCTTTCACGTTAACAGTGATCTGATAACCTCATATTATTCACTCTAATGCTCCTCTTTCATTTTTATTGAGTTATAGTATATTCACATGTGTTTATTCCATATCTGTTGTTTCAATTTATATTAACTAATACTTATTATATTATGTTATATTATATTACTTATTATTACATATATTGACATTTATCACACAGTATAATGCATATAATATATATAACATTGCATTATTAATTTGAACCACACCCGCCCTGGGGCCAAGAACGGACTGTCAATCTGTGTCACTGGCCTCTCCAATTACCTCACTCATTTACACTACTTTTATACTAAAGCAAGATGAGTGAAATGTCTTGCCCAAAGACACAATGACAGTAATGGAGTTGATTGCTGATTTAACAATCACTTTAATATAAGATTAGACCATTTGCAAAACTAGATATGAGTCATTGAAAAAAAGTAATTTCTGACTTGTAAGTTACCCTTTGCATTGCAGTGTTTTCAAAAGCCAAATTTATGTTGGTGTTGTAAAACTTCCTTCTTGACCAAATTAAACTTCACTAATATTACCTATAAAATGTAATAATGCAAAGCCATTAAGTTTTTGAATATAAAAAAAGCAAAATACCAGTCTTTGCAATTAGAACTCCTTATATATTGTACAGATATAGTCCATGATTGACCTCAGCAGTGAAAACAGCCGAGGACACAGTAATTCTCCTGCTGACCTCCTCCTCAGGACATGTCTGAAAGTCTTTTTGTAGTGAAAAGAGGCGGACACAGGGGGCGATGGCGAGACAGGGTTCTTGGAGATAAGAGAGAATTTTAATGAGAGCTTCCTCTGTGTTTAGAAACATCCTTTCTTCAAACACATCAACTGGGACGACCTGCTCAGCAAGAGAGTGGAGCCCCCCTACAAGCCACAACTGGTGAGACTAAGAGAAAAAAATATTTAAAGAGGGATTATTACACTTCTATGGGGTATGAACTACTAATGCATAACATATTTGGATCACCGTGTTACCTTTTATTTTTGTTAATGCTATATTTGCCGAAAGCAATGTATTAACATATTTCTGAGTCGTCCCTCTCGTCACTCCCTCTTCAGAGTGCTATCACATTACAATCAGTGTACATTACGCTAATGAAACTACTACACATCTCATCACATTTGTAGTAGTGTATTGCTTTGTGTCATGCTTTTGTGTATTTATGAAAAATGTCCATGTGGGAGCGTGGGTGACTTGTGAGGTGAGCATTGGACATAATTGTTCTGCAAACCATAAGGAGGGTTTGAATAAATATGAAAAAGAAATGAAAGGGTTTGAAGTGATCGCTAAATTACTCTAACATGCATTGTTGACGTCTAAACCCTCTTCAGGCATTTTAATATGGTAGAAAGCTCCCTCTTATTTGGATTTTTATCTTTATTAAATTAAGAAGAAGGAATATGGTAAAAAGGGCTGACACATCCAGATAGCCCACCTTTTACACTGTTATATAAATAACTGTGTGTATGTTGTTTTGCAGCACTCAGAGGAGGACGTGAGTCAGTTCGACACCAGGTTCACTCGACAGACTCCAGTGGACAGTCCAGACGACACCACTCTGAGCCACAGCGCTGAGCTCGCCTTCGCTGTCAGTATCAAATAACAGACTTTTTATAGTAAACTAAATATTGTGTTCTTCTCAATGGAGCTCAACAATAATCGCTCACCACTTGGTTCTGAAAGTACATTTCCCATAGACTAAAATAGAAGAGTTTTAGGTTGCTCAGGGCTAATTATATAGATGGAAACTAATCTCAAATTTGTTTCTGAAACTTTTACAAATCGCTAACTAGGGAAGGGCATGATTAGTCGATTAATCGATACAAACCGAATGTAGGTTGCTGTGCGTAGTGTGACCCAACAGGGGTCCGTACATGTAGCTCTCTGCACTCAGAAGGAGCGAGACACAAACAGTCGGTCAGTCTGTAACGTACCGAAGCACAAATGCGTAACGATGACTTGTACAAGAAAGTCCACGCTTTCCGTTGCGTTCGGGACAAGTGTGAGTCCATGTGCACAGTGTACAAAGCAGCACGTTTCGGTGTCCAGTGGGAAAAAGTTTTGCCAGGTGAGAGTCACGCGATGTTGATGAAGAGTCCCCACCTCCCACCCCCCGTACGGTGTCCTGGTTTTGACAAATGCAAATATGGTCACACTAACCTGTATTCCACTGAGTCATGTCTTTTAATCCAACAGAAATTGACCGCATCAGCGACACAAGAGCTGTAGTTTTATCTTCGCTGAGTTTATGCAAATTAGCGATGCGGTTTTAAGTTTTGTTTCTGTGAGAGTGAGAGAGGAAAACTGAATTAAACACATTATAATGTCAAACGGATTGATGTGGCTCTAGAATCGTTACGGTTTATATGTCGTAAAGTTGAATTTATTAATGCAGATTAGTAGTACAGATAGTAATAATAATGATGATCATTTTAATATAAAAACGTTAATGATTAATCGATAATCGATCGTTAATTCTTCTGACGATCGATTAAGAAAATTTCATCGAATGCCCATCCCTACTGCTAACCAATGAAAACATTTAACAGATTTAAAAGTTTTAAATGTCTGTTGGACTGAAAACAACTGTGTTATCAATCTTACCGCACCACATAGCCAGTTAGCCACATCTGTTTATTTTGGAAAAGTCTATGGGAAAAATACCTCTGAACCCACAGCGATTTTTGAAGTGGGGGGACTGTTAAGCTCCATAGCATTTACCACAGTGTTGTACAACTGCAATGCATAATAAATTAACCTTTAAAGATACCTCAGTGTGTCTGCACTATGACCTAAGTGTATTTTTGGTACTTGTACCTCAGGGCTTCACGTATGTGGCTCCTTCTGTGTTGGAGAGTCTGAAGGAGGGATTCTCATTTGAACCAAAACCTCGAACGATGCGCCGATGTAACAGCAGCCCACGCACACCCATAAGGTACACACATACATACATACATACACATACATACATACATACATACACACTACAGTTCCACTATACAGCATGCGCTTTACAGTTTCACGTAGGAATAGGTGATACAGCGATAAAAATCAAATCATCATCTCTGTTAGGATTTGCACTTTTGGTAAAAATCGCTATAACTGTTTAATACAGCTCTTTGGTCATGACACTTTCCCCCAACTACTCCTCCTATTGGCCAGCCTCCATCATGCTCTGACTCAGTGACAGGTGGATTAACCAGTCATACTGAAAAGTAAACTTGCAGAAACAGCAGATGGTTTTAGTTACCTTTTTAAATACTATATGAAAGATACTAAGAAAACAGGAATCATGATAGAATAAAAATCAGGACATGGCCCTGAGAAATTTGTGATATGATTTTTTTGGCATATCGCCCACCCCTGGTTTCAATAACAATGAGATCATTTAACCAAGAAATCATTAGTAGTTAGATCACATTTATTTATAAACACTGGCCAATTTGGACAATAAGTTAATCTGGTTTGTTTTGTAATTGTCATGTGCATCTTGTCTATTTTAGTACTCAGAGTTCCTTATTCAGTTCCCAGTATTTAAAGGACTATGAAAGAATATTGCCTCAGTACTTAATAAATATCAGATATTGGAGCTTTATTCTTTGATATTGACTGTAATAAAATATCATAGGACGTTAAAACTAAAGTCTTGCTTGTATTTCATCTTTCCTGTAGCCCTCAATTTTCCGCAGGCGGTCCGTTCAAATCAAACATGTACGGAGAACCAGACCTGTTCTCTCCTGTCTCTCCTCCCACTTGTCCTGCCCCCACGCCACTGGAGAACGGATGCGCCAGTCAACCAATCAAAGCGCCCGCCCGCAACAAGAAGCAGAAAGGGCACCGCAGATGAGCGCCAGGTGTTGGAACATGGCTTTGAATATATTTACAGTTTTGGGGGCACTTTGAGACATAAGCTGGCTCATTTAAGTGCCAAATTTAGTCACAAGAGCATTTGAACTAACTCCCAATATTAAAGAGACCACATTACGCTATTATCTGATCTCAGTTCCCATGTCAAACACATACCCAGAGTTGTGTTTTGTTTCATTCACACAAACCCTGCATTTTTAGGCTAAGTGCTCAAACAGAAAACACTCTGTTCCAACTTGTGATGTCACATGAAACAGAACACAACTTTGGGTATGTTTTTGATGAGGTAAGAACATTCTAACATGACTTAAAGCTCACAAGAGTCCATTTTGGATACTGTAATAAATGTGTATAAATAATAATAATAATGCATCAGTTTTATACAGCCCTTTTTTGCACTCTTTACAGAGCATTATTCATTCAATCCATACAGGAATACAATTATTGGAGTAAGGCAAGTAACAAGGCTTGCTCAAATGAAACTGTTGATATTCAAAATTGTGACTGTGTTATTTTCTTACCTATTCAGAAAAGTCAATATATTTTTAATATTCAAATTCAGTTTTCAGTTCTTTTTTTTTTTTTTTTTTTGACAATTCAGGAAACCATAATGATTACTAATTCTTCGTAATTCGTAAATAAATACAAATCTCAGGTATACAAGTTTCCTTTAACATTAATCAATAATTATACAGGATAACGTTTCCTTGTTGCTTAATATTGGTGAGTTTTTCTAAAATCTTGTGCTATAAGACTTTCTGAACACGATGAAGATGAATAACCATTTTGTACATTGATATCTGATTACAAAATGTGAATGCATGGATCTAAAGTGTTTTGGCTTTATTTTCTATAGTCTCTAGTTTAGTGAATTGAGGTTTGGGAGTTATAATGGGATTAATATTAAAACTGCCTCAAGTTTGTGTAACATGATAAGGGAAAAATTCAGAAGTACTCCATGAATTGTAGTGTTTGATCAATGAAATGCAAGACTGCGCTTACACCATTTTTCACTAGTTATTTTTTTCATATTTTAGTGGAGTGTTATAATCTAAACCCAAATAAAGTAAAATATCTGCAAATGAAGGAAGAAAATATTCCAAAATTCGCTTGCAGAAATTTGTGCATTTATTAAAGCAAAAATGATTGAAACAGTACAATGTATAAAACAACAACTACTCAAACCAAGGTTGAATCAGGTTAACTAATGTTGTTATCCAATAATTATTTTTGCTGTGTATGAATTGTATTTATTGCCAAACTAAACCTATATTCTGAATAGTTTATGATAACAGTAACTGAGCCCACTCCACGGTGTGCCTCTCTGGGATTCTTTTCTCCTGATGCCAAAGCTCATTTAAACATAATGACAAAATCAATGTCGTCTTGTGAAAATATAGTCTACTTATTTCATTATAGAGACTTTATGAGGGCTATAGAAACAATCAGCCTTTATATAAGAATGATAATGTGATTAAGATAAGTAGTTATCATTGAGACCGTAAATATTATTAGGATTGTAAAGCTCTTTTTGGCTCTCACAGGCTGCCGTAGTGTGACAATGTAGGATGTTTCATTGCATTTGTTGTTGTGTGTGTTGAGTGATCATTTGCATAATGTTTGAAGGATGCTGAATGTGTTCCTTTGGTCAAAATAAGAATGCAATTTAACGTTTTCCACATGCTTATTTCCATTGAGATGTTATTACTTTGCCTGAAATGTCCCACAGTATGGCATTAATTCATCTTGCACTTATTCAGTTTCAAGTGTTTTTGATTGTTCCAAAATACCCATTCTTACTGTGAGTGAGCTCGCCTCAGCGAATCTAACCTGTACGTTTAATGCCAGACTGTGGAACATTCCAGGTAAGCCCATAACATCCATGGAGACAAGCAGGTGACGGACCTTCCATCAACAAAGCTACAGTACAACTTTTAAACGCAAAGACGATGGCAAAACAGTTATGGTTGGGTATTTTGAGCCGAAGTAAACTATAGGAATAATACAATATGGGGGTGTATGTATGATTTAATTTTTTGTTTGAATTTCTGTATTTATTTTAACCATTATGTAAACTACTTGGCAATTTTGTCATAACTCCTATCAGGACACTGGGCTTTTTCCATTGATTGTCACTGGCACATATCACTATTTGTTTTTGCAAAGGCAGATTCTGTTTTGGAAATGCAACAGTTTAAAACCGTCAAAAGTTTGTCGATTTTATTTATAGACATATATAGTGATAATATTTTATTTAACTATTAATAGGTTTTACTTTTCTCTTTTTTTCTGTTACATTGTTTTATGACTTCAAATAAATATGTATATGTACATATATGACAATGTCTCCCTTTTTATGTAATAGTTGCTATCCAAATAAGACTAAGGTTATGGTACACTTTATTGTCCTCCATAGAGAAAATTTGAAGACATGTGAAATTCATTTATAGCAGTTCACAGTCAGGTTTCTATTGTTTCTCAGTTACATAACATTCTGACATAGCTGGTTTCATTGTCTTGAGGGAAATCTTGTTCCCTGTTCCTCTCTGCTGGTGGCTCCTCCATCTGTGAATAACTCAAAGTAAGAGTTCAACTTTTGATATAAAACAGACCAATCATTCTCTTGTCTAACCAAATCAAGTTTCATTTGTGCGTTTATGTGAATAGAAATGTTATATAGTGCATCTCCATGTGAATGTGTGACTTTGGTCAGAATGTTACACAGTATGGCATTAAGCAACCAACCAACCAATCAATCAAACAAACTTAAGGCACTTTTCATAAATGCTATGCAAAGTGCTTTTAATCATTCCTAACAGGCCATCTACCCATTTGACACACCTATCTCCATACAAACAAGCAGCTGACATCATCAGGTCAAGTTACTGGTCAGGTCTGTGGAAAGGAGTCCCTCGTTTAAACAAACATTTAATGCCATATTGTGGAATATTAAAGGTGCATATTAAAGGTACTCCACCCAACACCCGAAACCAAACCACAGCATAAGAATCTTAAGAATTATAATCTTATGTGATATAGATTTGAAATGATTTGGGTATGGAAGGGCATCTGTTTTTGACACAAAGTCATTTTTAAAATTTCAACTAGATTGTTTACAGAAGTAGACACGGTCTTTAAAAACCATGAGATTGTTAAAATAATTACACCCATGCTGATATAAAATTACTCAACAAATTCATGCTTTGAAATAGTTTTAAATTACTTGTGGTGCAAGTTTGTGACTGTGAATAATTAGCAAATTTACTTGAGCCAATAAGTACACAGTTTGTTCAAAATAAGGTGTAATACTGACCTTTAATCAGTAGGGGGCATTGCACCGTCACAACCACCCCGTGACAAAAGCAAAGTCTATTAAATTTTTTCATTGCTGTTTTGGCACATTTTTGGCACACTGATCAGAACTGAGAATTTCATAAGTACTTGTACAACCTTCAAATCCTTGAGTTACTTTTGTACATCTTTAGGCCATTTTCTTGTTTGTTTTTCCAAAGAGCAAATGCTTTGGTGCACTGTTTCAAATGATTTTGTACAATAGTCTTCTGTTCCATACACTGTCATTTGATTTTGTCAGACTGTTTAAAATGGCTTATAGTGGCTCTCATCTATGAGTATTTGGACAGACCATTCACAACATTTCAGTATTACCTCATTGTTTGGAACCATGGCCATGAAAATGGTCAGTGGTTATCTACAGCATTTTCTAAACTTATATACATCTGCAAAAAGACAAATGTGTGCAGTGAGCTCATCCTACAGCATTGTATCCCTAACCTTATCTACTGCTTCTGACTATTTGACTGAGAGAGAATTGTGTGGAGGAGATGGAGGAGCACAGGCAACATGAGGTGGTTGAGGTGGTGTGTGGGGTGAGGTGGGCAGGGGCAGTTTCATGTAGCCACTGGTACATAAGGAGTGTTGCAAAAGGGAATGTATCACAGATGAGTCATTTGCTTTGATCAGTTGAGAGTGAAAAGAGTAAAATGGTGTCAGTAAATGATATTGTAAACTGTTGTCAATGTTGCACAAACTGTCCTGTCTTGCACATTTCTAACATGGGCCTCATATTTTGTAATAACCTGTGAACTCAGTGATGCATTTTGCTGTCGATTCCATAAAGGCTTCATAGAGATCCAACTCACTTAAATGAGAGAAACACTACTCAGTACCCTTAAGATTTTGAGCAAGTTTGTTGATTTTGCAATAGATATAATGGGTTTTTTATGTTTGTATGAATTGTTTTGAGGAAGGCATTTATATTTGTAAAATTCAGTTTTGATCTGAAAATTATACCAAATTCCAGTGATCCAGCACATTTTACCATCCCTTTACCCAGAGCCAGAAATTCAAAATGAATAGGAAATAGATTAGATTTAAAATTATGTCTTTTTTCAGATAGTTCTCTTTTTGATTTTAAAAATAGTTGTGGTATTCACTTTCGCACCAAAACAAGCTTCATCTCAATTCCTCCACAAACTCAGGTTGAATCTCTAATGTAATTACTTTTGAAGAAAATTTTACTTCTCAGTGTATAGTTTTCAGACACCATACTTGAGTAATATTGTTCACAGTGTATAGAACTCTTACTTGAGTAAAAGTTTTAGTAGTAACATACTTCACTTTTTACTTTGACAATACTTTACTTTAGACTGGTCCTCCAGGTATGATAGTTATTCTTAATATTGTGTATATTTAGATTAAAAAAAAAAAGATTTATCCTTGCAATTACATTAACATAAAATTATAAAAATGTTGAGAAAGAAAGTATAGTTTAAGTAGTTTCCCCAAATAGTTTTTTGTTGAGTTATTACTTTATCCACTTCTAACTAACAATACACTGATGTACAATTTCTGGGTACTTTTCTGTCTTTGTGATAGCCATCAAGTGTGCATTATACAGACTGTTTACATACTTTCATGTGGAATTTTGAAAAACAGAAGCAAAACTGGACGGTGTTAGCTCCTCAAGGAAACACAGTGGGAGGTTTTTTACCAGTGAATTCTGGCAAACATAGAGCCAAAGATAATTTTACTTGAGTACATTTTCTGGTGCACATCTCTGCTTGTCTCCATAGAGATGTTATTGTTTTGCCTGGAAGCTTTACAGTTAGACATTAAAGTATCTATCTTGCATTAATTCATAGTTTTTATGGTTAAAAATATGATTGCTATGGTAATTATGGTACAGATATGGATATGGCTAAGAAGCTAAACATGCAGCAACTTAGCTAACTTGAAGCTTTTTAACAGGTTTATAACAACAAAATAGAATAGAATAGATACATTCAAGTAAGAACATTAAACTGTGGAGCACTGTCACAGCTTCAGTAAAAGCAACACAGAGTGACACAGAGGTGAGTCTGGTGCTAAAAGGTCACTGTATTAACCAGTATACTGCTTCATTGTAAGTATAAAATAATATTGTATAAAAAGTCCTGATAGAAGGTTGAGTCTTTTTGTTAAAGTAATTGCTCCTACTGTTTTTGTTCCTTTAGTTCATCATGCTCAGTACAGCACCAGTTTAGAGAAATCAGGATACTGCCTCCACATGCCACCGTATCCTGGATAATCTTGGAAAAACCCAGTGAGAGGATCTTAGATTCTCAAAACTAGGATACTGGCATATCCAGGATACTGAAATCAGGATACTGTGTTTCCATGGACACTCACATAACCAGGATACTCAAAAACCCAATCATAACCAGGACACTGAAGTGCATGTATATTCACGCACTCAATGTAAAATGTTTAAAACCTTGGGAATTTGGTGGACTGTTATCTGACGCCCTAAATCAGATTAATCTTCTCGTTTTGTACCGTGTGAGCTAGACTTGAAGCACCAGCTCTGTTCTATTCTCAGCCCTGGCCTTAATCTCTGACCAGTCTAATGTTAGCAGTGTGGACCTGGAAAGAGCCACAAATAGCTTATTAGCTCATTAAGTAACGTTGCAATTAACAATGAGGCTGTGAGGTTGCTCAGCAATTCTGTGCCACAAATGAGCCTAGCCTACTTCTAGAGGATTGAAAAGCAACTAAAAGTAAAAAGTATTACAATGCATGCTCAGAATGGGGTAAAAGTTGGCCATGTTGTACTGTGTAGTGGTTTAGAGTAAAAAAGTTGTAGATTCAATTCCCAGATTGCTTAGGACTGCTCTGTGTTCATGAAGTTTAGTTTCTTGTTATATTCAACATTTTGAGAATATTTCTCATTCAAGATACAGTATGTTATTTAGTTTTACATTGCTTTTGTTATATATAACAACGGTCCACATTTTTAATCATTCTGAAACCCATGAATAGAGACAAGACAAATTCTGACTAGTTGACTGTAAAAATAATCGTAGTCATATTTTGATCATCATAATCACTAAATGGCCTAAGACACATATAAAAGTACATTATTAACATGATTAATAATGTATTTTCATTATTAAGACAAAATGTCAAAAAAGAATTTAAGATACAATAACACACTTTTATTTGTAAATACTCTCGATTTAAAAACCTTCAGTCATTTTTATCTTTATTTGGTTAAAATTAAGGATGCAGTGAACCAGTTATTTCTGTTCTGTACTATGGCTTTTAGATACAATGACTTGATACAATTGTGTTAAATAACTGTTATTCCTCCTTCACATCACTACTAAACTAGCCAGACTGGCACCACCTAGTGCCTTTGCTCAATTTCATTTCTCTCCAGCAACTAGGTCAGGAATCAGAATACACTGGACAGTTTGCAAGAACCTCGGAAGTGCGAGTTCAGGCACCAGCCAATCAGCAAAGAGTCATATATTCTGTGTTGGCAACAATTCTCGAGATCAAGGATTTAAAGCTGGAACAGAGAATGTTTGGTGAATTTTATCAAGGGGAAAGACATTATTGCCCTTCTTCCTGGGGATTTGGGAAAAGATTAATATAACAGTTAGTCCCGTTAGCAGCGCATTACATACATCACAACCAAATAGCAGCGATTGGTTAAATTTTAAAAGTACCTGCCTACCGTCGAGCAAACAAATTCTAAAGCTGCAATGTCATACGGTTTCCATGAAGTGAAACTGACTGATGAATCAGCCTACTACTAAACAGCTTAACTCAACAGCTGTACAACTAAAAGTCCAAATATTATAAGACATTCTAGGCCAAAATCAGCCAGTAAATAGTCTTCTACATCCAATTAAAGGCACAACGAAGATATCAACTTAACTGATATCATGGAACCGATTCAGCTAATTTTCCTGGATTGGCGCCAGTATATTTGGTATTATTAATACCAACATCGGTGAATCCCTAGTTAAAGTGTATTTAAAAGTTCTCAGTGA